AGAAGGGTGGCTTGTTTACCGGTTGTGAATCCATAATAGGACATTCTTCAAGATAATAAGCACCGGAGGAAAAAGTCATTTTTTTTGTCGGTTGCGTCGGGAATTGGTAGAGCTTCTTCTAGGATCGTCTCAAGGTGGTTAAACATTCTTAACGAGTTAGGATCTGATGCAAATTTTTAGGATTTTCGGAAGCTCGAAACGATAACCGGAACGATTTGCAAAGAGGGGTCGGAACAGTTTTGTGTTTAGGGAGTAAGGAGATTGAAAGATAAAGAATTGGATAGCGATTTATAGTGGTTCGACTTTCTCAATCAAAGTCTACGTCCACTACCTTAGCTCCTCACCAAGGATTTTCCAACAAATTCACTAATTTGTTCTTTCTTTTGAGGATAAAGAGTAACCTTACAAACTCCCTAGTTTTTTCGGCCTAAACTAGAACCTTTCCCTAGCTTTTACACAGGCTAAGCTAGAACCTTTCCCCATTACAAAAGGATAAGAAATGTAAACAAGAAAACCTCTCTAAGGTAGGTGTTTACAAGATTGAGCTCACAAGAACAAAATATATACAAGAGAAAGATGAAATAAGAATGAAAAATTATTCTCTTGTGTTTGATTGCTTGGATAGTTGTTCTCTTATTTCTTCAAGTGTCCTTAGCTTGTATTTATAACTTGGAATGTGTTTGAAGTCATATCTAGCCGTTGGGGATGTTTTGGAGCCGTTTGGGAATGATTTTTCTACAAAAATAGGCTGCCTAGAATGGGGGGAATCGGTACCCCTTAATAGGGAATCGATACCCCTTTATAATATTCAAATATTATGACCGTTGGGCTGATGAACAGTGAGGGAATCGGTACCCCCTTGGGGGGAATCGATTCCCCTTTTACATACTGGAATTTTTGAGCCTCGGGTACTGTTCAAACAATGATTTACTGTTCAAATAGTAATTTGCTGTTCAAATAGTAAATTACTATTCATAAAAACATTTTTGTGCTCAATTTTAAATTAAAAGAACTTTGAATTATTTTTGTAAATTTTGAATAAATTCAATTAAGTCCAAATACATTTTGTAAATTCAATTCAAGTCCAAAAACCATTTTGCCTTAAATTGTTATATCGAAACATAGTTCAACAAAGGTGAAAACCTATGGAACCGTGAGGGCAGCCAAACAAAATTAGAGAAAATTGTTATGTCCTTGCGATAGAAGAAGAATAATCGAAGGAAATTGAGGAAATGAAGATTAAAGAAGAGAAGAAAAGGGATTCAGGAAAACTGAGAATTCATTCATTCATTTCATGCCTTAAGCCCTACCTAGTACATTGCTTATATATTTACATTGTACCAACCATTTACCAGCTGGCAATACAGTTGTCTCTAACAGTTAGATTCCCTTGCAGGTGCTGTTAGGTGCTGTTGGCGTGACTTCCTTCACTGTTGGCAGTACCCCTCCCTTTAATTGAAATCCCTAACCCTATTTTCAATTTCCCTAATTCTCTTCCGTCATCTTAGATTTCTATATCTCTCATGATCATGACAATACCCCCTCCATGAAATGATCCTTTTCCCCAAGGATCAAAACCTAACAATTGTGCCTTAAGCACAATATAGTTTACCCCAATGATGTTTTCCAGCCTTAAGTTCGTCCACTACAGCTGATTGTACTTCTCCTAATGTTTGTCAAACTTCATAGCAGATTGGACCTTCAACTATCCCTTATGTCCAAACTTGGATGACTCCAATGAGGTAATGTGTTGATCTTCAGATTTCTTTTTTAGCCAACTATCATAATTCACTGTTTGCACCTTCGAGGACTCATATAACAAGATATATGCTACTAACCCCATGTAATGTAAAATGATACAGGTACCATAGACCCTTGCTGCTAGTCTTAATCCTTTTCGAAGAGCAAATGAGGTTTGATGGTAAGACCGAAAATTCAGGTAAATTCTGTCCTCTGTCTGTCAATTTTATTTTAGCAAAAAATTTAAGCCTTACTTGAGTCTTCTGAAAAAATTTCAGATTCAAAAGTTGTTGTTTAAGTAACTGATTCCTGTTGCTTTCTTTGTTGACTTGCCATATAGTTATGACATTCTCCTTCTCTTGAAATCATCCTTGTCCTCAAGGATCAAACCCTTCTGATATCTCATTACTTATTTTCGATTGCAATAACTGATATCTCCGCTTGAACTGTGTCAACTCCCGAAGAGCCGTCATCTTTTTATTTGTAACTTGAAGCAAATTTCTATGAAGTTCATCTATCTTTTTCTGAAGAGCTGCATTAACATTTTTCTCATGTAAATGTCTTTCTTCATGCTGTGATAAAAGCAACATTACTGCCACCTTTTCTTGTAATGCCTATGCAAGGGCTTCTGAGGCATCACCTTTAGTCTCAGCAATATTTAAATCCAGCATGACCCTCTTTTCTTTTTGATTAAGAGCATCAAAGTCCACTCCAATATCAGCCAACGAATTTGTTTTAGGTCCAGATATATTTAGATTGACTAGTCCTCTGCTCAAAGTATCAACCCAAACTGCCGACTTCGTCTCAAATTTATCATTCGATGGTTCTGAAACTGGAACTATAACAAGTTCTCTTGCCGATGGAGTAACTGTTTATGGTGCCATTGAATACTTCGAGCCTGGTTGTGAAATTAAGCCACCCAGGAGATCATTGTTATTTTGAGGTTGAGTAGACATGTGTGAACTAACAATAGCATTAGAACCTATCTGAGAGTTGAAGCTCCCATTGCTGCTTTGGGCAATATATTCTAGAATCTAAAGGGTCGTAGACATGGTTTGTGGGTTAAAATTACCATATGAATTATTCAAATTTGGTTGTATGGTTTGGGCATATGGATTAGCATTTGGCTGTGCAAGTTGACCATATGGATTAGCATTTGGCTGCACAGGTTGACCATATGGATTAGCATTTAGCTGTGAGGGTTGGCCATATGGATTAGCACCTAGTTGTGGCGGTTGGTTATAAGGATTAACACTTGGTTGTATAGATTGGCCATATGTGCTAGCAGTCGGCTGTGCAGGTCCAGAAGGTGGAAAAATATCCGCCAGTGAATTATTTTCCTGATTTGGAGTTGAAAATTCCTGAGGCAGAAACTGGGGATTTGTTAATGGAGGTTGTACGGTGCAGATACCAGGTGCATAGTAAGCATTGGTGGAGAATGAATCCCTAAGGTTGAAGTTGGTAACTGTCTCGGAATTTGCAGAATGTAGCTGAGGAGCTACTACATTTTGGTTTGTTGCTGGCTGGAAATTAGGCATGGAAGTAGAAATTTGTTGTGCAGTTGGGGCAGATCAGTTGAAGGAACAACTTTAAAAGAATTATCATCAAATGGATCATCAAAACCCTGATTTCCAATATTCCTCAATTGATATTGGTCCACCCTCCATCCCGTATCATAATAAATGATGGTTCTCTTTCTCAGTTCATCTGGAATCTGCATTCGATTTTGGAGAAGTCTCTGTTTTAGATTCAGCTCATTCTAAATTTTGGTTCTATCCATGTTGAGGTAAGACTTTATACTTTCGTATTGATTTAACCAGTGGATGCGTACCCCTTTAGACTCACATTTGCTGAATTTTTCAGCACCACGACTGAGAAGTTTGTCACCATTGCTATGGTTTACGCAATGCTGAAGCTCTAACATTTTCTCAAACATTTTATGCCCTCTGCAATGAAGTATCATAACACCATTGTTGGGGCCACTCTTTGCAGTTTTAGCATAACATTTAAGTGGTGGTTCAGTGCTTTCTAGCTTAGTTTTAGGCATAAAGCAAGCTTCTTCAAGTGTATAGACAGGGTAAATGCTTTTACCGTAAGCATCTTCTATTATAGTAGCCTTTATATCGTTTTCCGTTGCATGTTTCTGCTCAGCTTCTGTTTCTGCAGGATCTTGACCATCAAAGAGGCTGGATGATTCAATGATGAATTGGCTCAGCTTCTTTTGCTTGCATTTTGTTGAACACCTGAGACACATTACCACATCCCTTCTACTTTTATTTTTGCTCACTTATTGTACTAGCCAAAATCTGGAAGATCTGCTCTACCGATTTCTGGGTTGTGTCCATTTTCGTCTCCAAATCAGTTATGCAAGCATTCTGTGCTTCCCACCATTTTGGAGGAGTTGATTTAGTTGTTGTTGTTGTATGTTTTATCATCTTGGTGAGATCGTCAAGTTGCCTCTGAATCGAAGAAAGATTAATGGAGTCTGCCATGCCTTGATTTTTTTTTTGCTTCAAGCTGCCAAGAAATGATGGCTCTGAATACCAATTGTTATGTCCCTACGATAGAAGAAGAATAATCGAAGGAAATTGAGGAAATGTAGATTAAAGAAGAGAAGAAAAGAGATTCAAGAAAACTGAGAATTCATTCATTCATTTCATGCCTTAAGCCCTACCTAGTACATTGCTTATATATTTACATTGTACCAACCATTTATCAGCTGGCAATACATCTGTCTCTAACAGTTCGATTCCCTTGCAGGTGATGTTGGCGTGCTTCCTTCACTGCTGGCAGTACCCCTCCCCTTAATTGAAATCCCTAACCCTATTTTCAATTTCCCTAATTATCCTCCGTCTTCTCTGATTTCTATCTCTCTCGTGATCATGACAAAAACATTATCAACAATCTCTAGAGAAGATGGTTAAAAACTCTCAGTTGACATATTCTATCTCTCTTAGGTAGCGAGTTCAAAATTCTTCTTCCCCTCCTCCTAGATAGAAATTGTTTACAAGAATTGGAGAAAACATTATATACAATTCATATTGAGAATAAATACATATTATTTTTATATTCTCATATTTATTCTTCTTATTTTTTCTTGTTTTGTTCATTTTATTTTATTTTAGGCTTAAATATACAAAAGGTGCCCAACGTATGTATTTGGTTTCAATTTAGTGCCTAATGTTTATTTCGTTTAAGATTGGTGCCTAACATTTCATTCCGTAACTCAAATTGGGTCAGGCTATTACGGGCCGTTAATTTTGGAACCAAGATGGATTTTGTGGATGATAAACTCAGGTATTTCATATTTTAATCTTTTCGGAGTTTTATTTTATGTTTTTTTTCCTATCATTTTGTTTCATTTGCTAGAAAAATTGTGTCTTTATATGATCAGTTGAACTGAGAAGCTTAAATTAGATTTAAAGCACTAACATTTGACCATTCAGTAGTCAGGTAAATGTACCATTTAGTTTGCGTTTGTTTCTTATCCATAGGTGGAAAAGTAGAAATTTTTTATTCTCCTAATATGTATAAAAGAACTTAAAGAATCGAAGATACCCATATCTATTTTGACACTGAGAATCTGAGTCACATTGCTCATAATATTTCTAACTAGTGTTGACTCCATGGCTGTTCTTGCCTATCATCGTTTCTTTTTCTAGTAATAACTCGTTCCAATAATGTCTACATATTATAGCATTCTACCAGTCTCCATCCCCATTCATTGCATCCTTTTTACGGTTGCTCGGCGGACTTTCCTGAACTTAGGCTGCTATAGTCGGGAAGAAAAGTATCTTCTTTATCAGAGCTTTTAACTTGATAATCTGGAATATTGCACGTAAAAGCATCAAGCATGTAGAAGGCTTTGATATTAGCAAAGTTAAAAATAACTTGGCATGAATCACAATGATTTCTGTTGAGAGTTATTGTTGCTTGCATTTTGATTGGTTTTCAATCTTCCCTTCACAGGTCGGAGTTCGTTTTTATCAACCCAAACTCGAAAGGTCAATGTGGATGCGGTGAATCTTTCATGACAACAGCCGCTAAACAGGGTGGTAGTTAAAGGATATTGGGAGCCCTTCTAATAAGCTAAGATTTGAAATAACATACTTGATTCCAGGGAGCTCTCAAATTTAACCTTGGAAATAAAACTAAGAGGTAAATGCTATTTGTTCTGTGGCAGTTGCTGCCAACTAATTGCATGAGTATAGGCGGCATATAGATTCAGTATTGTCCTGTCACATATGATAGTTCGGCATCTGAAAATTGTTGTGTATATTTCATTTCATGTATGTTTCTGATATGATGTTTATTCAGATGAGGGTTGCACGAAAGTTATTGGAAGATAAAAGACTGTCTTATGTGTCTGGAGAAAAGTTCTATTAAATAGAATTTTGCAAGAATTGAAACTTCAGACCACATGTACTGTTATTGTGATTCCTGGTGTTATCTTCATTTATAAATCTTTTGATCTGTTTATTTCACTTTACAATGGACAACTCAAGCTTCTTCTCATCTTTCTTAGTTTTTCTATAGCTTTCCGAGTTTTCGTATGTGATTTCAGTTTCCATTCCTCAAAGCACTGCAAGAAAAATACAATAAAATTAGGAAGAACGAAGCCGAAAAATGAATCATGTAGAATTTATACATTTTACATGGGTAGATGTTGCTGCCATTCGAACATTTTCTATGCTATGTAACAACTATATGCTTAGAAGAAGAACACGAATACTTCACCTGTTGCTTTCTTTCCCTCTCCAGTTCTGCCTGTTATTGATACAAGTAAGAAGAAAGTAAATTCTTCATAGAATAGATGATAAAAGCTACCATGAAAATGAACAAAATGATGAAGTTGTGTTTACCAAAGCCTGCTTAAGGTGATTATTTTCTTGTTTCAATTGGTTCAATTCAGCTTCTAGCTCCACTGTATAGGCCTGTATGAAACCAAAACCAACCTTGTGAGAGGTACTTTCAGGGTCTCATAGTTTCATTTCTTCAGTAGTTATCAATTTTGATACATACCTGTTTTCTAGCTCTAGACCTTGCGGCAGACTCCCTGTTCTTAATCATCCTAAGTTGCCTTCTCTCAACTACCTTCTCTATTGGACCATCGAAGACCCTTTGCCTTCCTCGTACCGCCCCGATGTCCATCCCGAATTGTGAAACTGGATTATCAATTTGATTGGTACAAATCCTTTCCGATGAGACCGGACTCATCGGCGCCACTAACCTGATTGTTTTTTCAGGATCATAGCCACCTGGAGGAGCTACCTTCCCGTTCTAACAAACAGCCGTCAGTGGTGGTGGTGCAGCAGGCTGGTAGCTACCACCAGTCTTACCATCATTCAAACCTGGTGGAGGCATTGTCTGGTATGCAGTTCCACTAAAGCCAACAAACCTGGAAACAAAACCTGAACCGACCACATTAGTCGGATACACCCCATATTGTGGCGGCTGATGATGCTGCGGAGGCGGTACCGATGGCGGCGGCAATGGCATGCATTGTTCCCTTACTACCCCTGCCTTAATCAAGAAATCCTCCAAGGTCATCTCACCAAAAGTAGGCTGCCGCTGAGTATTGGCATCCTCATCGGCTTTATGCACATTGCTGTTGTTATTCTGTCCTTGTGCTTGCTGCACTCTTTGTATCTCCGACCAAACTTCATTGACCGTCTTACTACACAGCGGTGTAGGAAGCGTAAGTGAGGCTTGCCTTGCCAAGCTAGGCTGCTTAGCTATACCTCTACTCAGTGACGGATCCAGAAATTTAAGAATGATCCAAAATTTAACTACTTTTCCAAAATAATGGCATGCACTTGACTTTTATGGGGCTTAGTGCATCCGTCACTGCCTCTACTGCTTGATGTTTCATTCAGGTGCGAATGAAAATGGGAACCAAGTTGTTTATTAATGGCCGAGTTGTTTTGATGATTGTTGGAGTTGATGATTTGGTTTTCTTCAGGCGTTCCAAATGCTCGTAAGGAACTCGTCCATGTTCATGGACCCAAAGTTCTTCCCACCCTCACAAAGAGTATGCTGGAACTCATCAATTGTTAGAGAATAGATTGAAGATTGTCTTCCAAGTTCTGAGAATGGGTGGTTCTTCTGCTGCTGATCCGACGACTGTAACGCTGAGTCGACCTCGCCGGCCTCCGAGTCGGACACCGCCATTGTCGTTTTGGTGATCAAAAGCTCTTAATTCTCTGCCTTGTAATATAGATTGATACACAAATGTTGCAAAGAAAGGGACCATGAAAACTGTAAATCTTGTTTTAAACATTGAAAACCATAAAAAAGACATAAAGACCATATGTATGTATGTATAAGTATGTGCAACATACCTGATTCCAAGGAGGAAGAAGATAATTTAGCTGAAAATTATCTTTAGTTTGGCAAAGCTTTACCAAACGAACATTAAATTACTTGATATATATATATATATATATATATAGAACTATGAGGAAGAGATGAGTTGCAGATGTGAAAATGCAGTTGTTTTGTATGGATGAAAGGGGGAAGGCGTATAAGTTGCAGGGTGGGGTCCAATCAAAGAGCAGCTTAAGGCTATATATAGTCAACGTAACTCAGGAAGTTGAGAATATAAAAACAGCGTCCCAAAATAAACATTGCGGGCGGCTAAGGGCTTTCTCTGCTGGCTACGTTTGCCCAGGTGGCTCGCTCTGCCTTGCTTTGCTGCTCTTCGCTCAACGCGTGTTATCTCTGCACTTTTGCTCATCATCCTCAACAACTCTAATTCGAAAATCACGACCACGTTCATTATCTCCACTCCCTGAGCTTGGCTTGGTACTATTTATCTAATAACAAAGAAACCCTACTTTTCTTTATTAACATAGGAGTATTATAAGCGATAATATTTATTTTAGATAATCAATTATATGAGAATAAATATTTAAATATTTTTTGAATATAATTTCTAAAAATAATAATCATGTTTTAATAATCGAGTAAAAACCTTAACTCTTCTGTTATGTTTAAGGATTAACTTGTCTGATTATAGGCATAAGAAGTACATCGTGATATAGTTTAAAGTTTCATAGATGTATATTAGATTTTATCACAGTTTTGATGTTGGTGAATTGAAACCTTTTATGTATTAGATATAGTTATAGTTAAAATGGTAAGAGGTTTGTATGTAAATTTTATATGGTAGGTTCAAAACTTAAGTAGTGTTTTTTTTTTTCACTTCAAAATTATGTGAAATGACGAAAACATAAACTTTTATATAATTTTTAAAGTAAAATATTTTTATAGTTCTTTATTAAATTAGATTTAATTAATCAATAACGTTATTTTCAATTAAAATGTTAATAATTATAATAATATGCAGATAAAACATTTTTATTCTAAAATTTGTAAAAAAAAAATTAATTTAATGCCACGTGTCCTTTGTTGGAAGTGTTGGTGTGCACTCTGTCAACTATAAAACTTGAACAATATTATTAATCCAGACAAAATACAATACATGACATTTCCCTAACACTAATTTTTGACTAGTTTATAAATACCACACACAACCAAAGCTTTGATAAGCTTTCTCACTATATCTCTCGTATTTTTTTCTCTCTCATGTTTTCTAACTTTCTTCACATATCTAAAGCCAATGACACATTTATATAGATATAATATACCGCCATATTTCTATGGCTACCACCTTAAAATATTCTTAATAATTAAGCAAATTCATTAGCAAGTGCCATGTTAATTTGCTTGTTGGAGTTGAACACTAATTGTCACCATTCATCCATTTGTTGTTTCACTGCCACGACACTTCAAGCTTTGTCGACATGTTAGGGAGCTGCCACTTTTTTTCTTTGTAAATACCACATATCAATATTCAATTCCTTGCCGGTGAAATTCTTCAATTGATGCATATTTATTTTGTGGTTCATATTTTTGCCACTAATTCAAGTAACTTCTAAACAATTCTTCACCGCCGACATCCAATTTGATGCTAACACTCCCTCTCAAACTTGATTTTTCATCCCAAGCTTTTCTTTGAGTCGGTTGAATATATTTGCTTTCAATGGCTTCGTGATAATATTTGCAAGTCGATCTTCAGTTCTGTGGTAGACTAATTTCACACTTTTGTTATTCACTTGCTCTCGTATAAAGTGATATTTTATATCAATGTTCTTGCTTCAGCTATAGGAGACGAGATTCTTTGCAAGAGAAATTGTAGACTTCTTGTCGACATAAATTGTAGTGGGTTCTTCTTGCGTCAAGTTTTTATCTCGTTCGAAATATTCTTCCACCATAATGCTTGGCAAGTGCACGCTACTGTGGCTATATATTTTGCTTCACATGTCAAAAAAAAGACATTGTATGTTGCTTCTTTGAAGACCATGAAAATATTGCAGAGCCAATATGAAATAAATATCCAGAAGAACTTTTTTCGATCATCTTTTTCTCCCCATAATCATTGTCAGAATAACCAACCAGTTTCGAATTTTCTGAATATCTGTTGAACTAACCATGATCCATCGTGCCTTTGACATAGCTTAAAATTCTCTTTGCAGTAATCTAATGGTCTTGTTTTGGCCTTTCCATAAATCTGCTTACCAATCCCACATCATATGTAATATATGGTCGTGTGATAGTTAGATACCTTAGACTTCCAACAATGCTTTTAAAGAACGTCAAATTTATTGGCTCTCTTGTTGAATTCACACTTAATTCCATGTCTGGTTTTGTTGGAGTGGCTACCAGCTTGTAATCTTCCATTCTAATTTGCTTAAAATTTTCTCAGCATATTTCTTTTGTGAAATAAATATTCCATCTTGCATTTGCTTCACCTCGACTCCAAGGAAGTATGACATTTCACCAATATCTGTCATTTCAAATTCTTTAATCATAGCTTTCTTGAAATAATTGAACATACCTGGATTGTTCCTCGTGAAAATCATATCGTACACATATAAGCACACAATCATGATATCACTATCTTCATTTTTTCTTATATGAGGCATGCTCGTATGGGCTCTTTATGAACCCATCCCTCTGAAAATATTAACCCATTCCTCTTTATGAACATGTGATTCAACGTTGCTAGGAGTTCAGGGCTTTGATTCTATCGATGATGGATAATAAATAGATTGATTTCTTTGAGAATGTTGATAAAAAGAAATAAGTTGATGTGTGCACGTCAGAGTAAACCAAGC